TTTGGTTTTTCTCCGGTACCGGGAACCGAACTCACGACCTTGTGCTTGCCAGGCAGGTGCTTTGCCGCTGAGCTAAATCCCCAGCCCCTGCATGACTCTTTATATGAGGTACCCAGAGCAGCTAAAATCACAGAGAGTAGAAAAGGGGCCGCCAGGGCTTTGGGGAGGTGAGAAGGGGGGAGTTAGTATCTGATGGGTGCAGGGACTGAGTTTTACGAGGTGAACGGTTTGGGAGACGGGCGGTGGTGAGGGCTGCACAACATTACAAATGTATTTACTACCAACAAATTGTACACTTCAGCATGGTCAAGATGAAGGAAGGCGGTAGAACGCTTGCCCAGCCTGTGGAAGCCCTGGGTTTGATCCCCAGCATGAAAAAAAAAAAGGTTGAGATGGTAAGTTTTACCACAATTAAACAATTCAAAATCAAAAGAGAAAGCAGAGACCACAGAGGGCTGGATGTCACCCAAGAACACATGAAACTCCAGATGCCGATGAAGCCGCCCTCTAGGACGTACCACAGCCAACCAGCGGCTATTATCACGACACCGTGGGACACTGGGGGCTTCCTGAAAGCCAGGCGTGGTGGGGCACGCCTGTAATCCCAGCACTCGGGAGGCTGAGGCAGGAGGAACGCTGCAAGTTCGAGACCAGCCTGGGCTACAAAGTGAGCTCAAGGCCAGCTGAACTGCAAAGCGAGACCCTGTCTCAAAAAGACCAAAAAAAAAAAAAAAAGGAAAAAGAAGTTCCTGAAAGTCCTGACAGATCAAGAAGAAGGCTCATTACAATAACAGGTCCCAAGTAGGGAAGGGAATCATGCTGATGGCGGTGAACGACGGAAGGATGCCTTCAACTTTCTAAGTGAAGTTTACTTCCGAAGCTGACGTTCACTGTTGAACTTGAGGAGGCAAAATGTCAATGGGAAGGTCTATGGGAGTAACAATGACCCAGAAAAGAGATGTTGACATTTTCAGAGACAAACCATGTCCAAAAAATTTGTCTTCCACACGCCCTTTGTTAGAAAGCCATGGGAGGCCACTCTCTACCCAGATGGAAATGTAAACCAAGAAAGTGGCCTCTGAGACAGGGAGTCCAAAAGAAGACATGGCAGGGGAGGGTCCTGGGGGAAAGACTGGGTGGCTTGGTGGGGGACAGATGGGACAGGGTGAGAAAGTGGGACACCGTGATCCCGGAAAGTATACTAAGGAGAATGCAAATGGCGAAACAAAAAACAAAACAGAAAACGGACGTGGGGGAAGAGAGGGAGAGGAGGCAAGGAAAGAGGACTAGGAAAAGAAGAGAAGGGAGGGAAGTAGAGAAAAACTGAGTTAAGAAAATACACAGCGGTCCTAAGAAATTAACCACCAGGGCCAGGGGTATAGCTCAGTGGTACAGTGCCTGCCTGGCAGGCGTGAGGTCCTGAGTTCGATTCCTGGTACCAAAAAAAAAAAAAGAATTAACCACCAAGCTGTCTCTACCAGAAGCAGCGCTCTGCAAGGGTGGGGGAGTACTTCCTGCACCTCTGTATCCCCAGTGCCTCCAAGAGCTAGCCAGGAACTGAGAAAAGACCTCCCGAACAAAATATCTGTTGCAACTAGTATGGATTTAGCCCCCCAAAAGGGCAGGGTAACTATGTTGGGAAGATGGTGTGACAGGAAGAGAACGGTTTCGGGACAGAGCTAAATTCTCATCTCTTGGACTAGGAAAGGTCGAAGGATGTCTGCCGATGAGAGATCAAAAAAGAGACACGCACCCTGAGAAGAGCAAAAGCCACATCTAAAGAAACCTGGAAAGGGCCCTGGGTGAGAAGGGCTGGGAGGGGACACGCAAAGGCATGGTTCTTTCAGGCTCCTGACTTGTTAGAAGCAGGTCAGACACCCCTCTGATGAACACAAAATTGAGTTTTAGAAAATAAATGCTAGGGGCTGGGGATTTAGCTCAGCGGCAAAAGCGCCTGCCTGGCAAGCGCAAGGTCGTGAGTTCGGTTCCCGGTACCGGAGAAAAACAAAACAAAACAAAAAAAAAACAAAAAAAGAAAATAAACGCTATTATTTCATAATAGCAATTCAGACAAAAAATCTGATCTCCACATCTTAACAGAGGAGGGGGGTGCTGGCAAAGAGGCTGTGCCGGGACATGGCAGGGAGGCCAGGCCTGGGGCAGGCAAGACCCGCACAGGCCTCAGTGGTCCCATGCATCACCCAGGGTTACTCAGCTGGGAGGGTGACAATGAAGTCCAAGCCAGGTCCTTCCAAGGCTACAGAAGTCACTGACTGCCCAGCCACGTAGGCAAGAAGGCCTCGCAGAAGGCCTGTCCCCACTCCTGTCGCAGCTGACAGAGTGTCACCGGGCCAGCTGCCTCCAGAGGGACCACAAAGTTGCTCGTTACCACAGCAGCACATAGGGGACAATGCACAGCTGCCCGGAAGTAAGAGCAGCTGCTGCTTACACTTGCTTCTCAAGCGCCCAGCAAGGTGCTACTTGAATTTGTTGCATTTTCACAAGAGCCTAGAGATGCTTACGCCCGCACGTTTCCCAGCCTCACTTTCCTCTCAGAAACGAAGGAAATGGCTGGCGAGAGGGAAGCCCGCACTTGGCGCTGGAACTCAGTTACTTCCCAGTCTTCCCTCCTGGCTTGGGAAAGCACCCACAGCTGCCATCTTGGTTAATTCATTAAAGACATTTTTATGGAATGTCCACTATGTGCCAGGCACACCCCACACTAACTACGGCGAAAAAGCAAACTGCAATCTGTCCTCGTAACGTCAAGGCTGGCAGAGCAGCCAGAGGTAGAACAAGTGACAAACAAATGATTACAGACAGAGATACATGCCAGGGAATGGCCGAGAAAAACAAGGGCAAGCCCTGCTTAGAGTTGGCGGGCAGAGGCCTTGCCGAGGGTAGAGCTTTTTCGGAGCAGAAGAATGACAGGCCTCTGTCAGGCCCGAGGAGGGAGGCGACTCACTCCGTCCGACACCCCGCTCCCACCTCCAAAGTGCCCAGTACCTGGACAATATAGAGGCAAGGACAGTACTGGGCCCCCCCTCCAATGCTGATGCCGATCAGGTTCTGAGCATCCTTCTGCAGGGTCACCTTCCCAGGCACAGTGGGGATCCCACTAGAAAGAGAAGAAGTGCAGTGAGTCTCCTGAAGGAAAGAGGGTGGGAGAAGGGGGCTCCGAAGCCTGAGCCCCAAAAGCTGCACAGTCTTTTCCCATCCTTACTCAGCCAGAAAGACAGCAGTTGTGCTGGAGTACACAACACACAGCTCCTGGGAGTCGTGCAGATACGGTATCAACCCCAGCTGTACCATCTACTGCCTGGGGCTTGGGTAAGTCGCCCTCTCTACACTTTGGCTGCTTCTCCTATAAAGTGGGACCAGCCTCCCTTCTCAGAGTTCTCCTAAGAACACCCACGAGGCAGCAAGGTCAGCCCACCCCAGAGCAGACGCAGCAGCGCAGCATAACACACCCCCTCCCTACACTGCCTTCAAACTCTGAGATCTAGCCAGGCCCCATCCCTGTCGTCTTCGTATGGAACATATGGCCACCTCCTCTAGAAGTCTTCCCCTGTTATTTAACATCCTCCTGCCACTTCTCAATGACTTCATTTAACTACCTCTCAGTTTTCATTATTAATTAACGTTTGTTTTTTACGGTAAAGAATCTCACATATTAGCTTATTCATTCAGAAAACATCTGCTAACTACCTATTGCTGTCCAGCATCCTACTAAGTGCTGAGGACACACACAAAAAACGAGTCCTTGTTCTAAGAATACATTATAGTGAGCAGACAAATTTAATTTTTGAAAAACCTGTCGTACTAATTACCTACGCTGGGGAGGAAGGTATGTTTACCACGGTCCCATTCATCCTTCAAAACTGGCTCCCTTGCCATCTCCTCTGAGCAGCCTTCCCCGACACCCCAGCAGAAGCACTGCTCCAGCCGTTCTGCTCTCCTCCTCCCTGGGCCAGGCCATTAACTGTGGCCCTGAATCGTAATTATCTGTTAATCTGTCCACGACCCCTACAGATGATGAGCTCCTGGAAAGGCAGGTTCTACTTTTGCTTCAAGACACCTGCTGAGAAGCAAGGGTCGGGGGGAAATGAAGTCGAAGGAAACAGGGACCTGAGGCTCCTAAACTCCCACAACGTGGGGAACAAAAATACTCACAGTTTATCCTCCTCGATGTCATAGTCCAAGTCTGCAAACATGGTTCCGAGAGTTGGGGTGGGCTGGCTAACTGCCCAGCTCGGTGGGGGAATGGGGAACTGGATCCGGCAGAGAGAGGAGCAGGGGGTTTAGGGGACCGCACTGCCTAGGTGCCAGCCCGAGCTCCCACCACCGCCGCTGACCTGCCCAGCAGGTCGCTCCTCCTCTCCCCTGGACTCGCGGAGGGGGAGTCTCGGAGTGGCGGAGGTGGGTAGGTGATCCTTACTAGGTACAGGGGAGGAGAACTCCAGGCCAGGGCGATGAGCTCAGATGCCAAAGCCTGGCCAACGGGTCTCCAGGCCCTTGGGAGCTGCCGGTGTCACTGACCGGAAGACTCAGTCCCAGAGCCGGGCCCGGGCCAGGCTGGCACCTGAACCCACCTGCCGTTTCCACCTGGCGGTGGCCGCGATTGTTACGTCACTTCCGGCAGAACGCGGAAGTCCTGCCTTTCCCCCTGGGTATTTGCTCCAACCCTTGCAGGCAACGCTTTCCCCTCCGGCTCCCGGCACTCTCAAACCAGGAAACAGAACAACTATTGGTGGACGTTTGCAGTTAGTGTGAAAAAGCGGAAACAAAGGAAGGTCTGGACAGGCTGAAAGCGCTTAACCCCGCCCCTTGCCCTATCTTTGCCGCCATCTTGAGAAGGGCAGGTTCTTCCCAGCTTTCTCAGTGGCACGCTGAGGACCACGCTGCCCGCAGCGGTTGCCTTGGCAACGAAGGCATCCTGGGGCCGGGGTTACCTCCGGTAAAGTTACCTGTAACATCTTCGCCACCTCGTCCTAGAAAAAGCCTGTGACCGCTCTACTAGAATGACTGTCATGGCAGGAGGGGCCCTTTGAGATCCCATCCCAGTCCTAGTTTTGCAGATGAGGAAGCTAAGTGCCAGATAGGGGAAATGATTTTGTCCAGAGCCAGGTACAGTTGGTAGAAGATCCCGATCTTGCCCCTGAGACCCCTGTGGCCTAGTCCAATGCCCTTTGAACACCAGCATTAAACAGGGAAGCAGGAGAGGTGTATTTAGGTTCTGTTACTAAGGCCAGATCAGACGGGCATGTTACCTTTGCGTTGTGTGCCTTGATTTCCCTATCTGCAAACTAACATTGAGTACATGCTTTGTTTTGTTTTGGTTTGGTTTGGTTTCTTTGGGTTTTTGTTGTTGTTTGAGACACGGTCTCCCTATGTAGCCAAGGCTGACCTTGAATTCAAGGCAATCCTCCTACCTCAGCCTGCTGAGCGCTGGGATTACAGGTGTGCCCAACCACACCTGGCTAATGGATACTTTCTGTGGTATTTGGTGAAAGAGTCCTCACCTTCCCACCTCCTTCCTGAGTCCTGAGGACCCTGGGGTCCCGCTGAGGGCCCAGCCCCCATGTCCCCAAGTTTCAGCACACACCATCACTGCTTGCCAGCCAAGGAGTCTGAATCTCCTCTTCCACCAGCCTCTGCTGCCACCGCAGTTGGGTGGAATGGGCCCTGGAGGAAGTTAGCAGCCGCCTCCTCCAGGCAGCATGGGCTGGGCTCATCTAGTGCCCTTCCACAGCTACCGCCGGGGTGAAGAGGTGCAGACGGATGATTATCCACACATCCCGCGGCCTGCGGGAAGCCCGCCCTCAAGTCCCAGCAGATGTGCAGAACGGCACCATAGCAATGACCTTGTGAGTGCTCCCCTGCTTGGCCGTCCAAGTTACTTTCACAGGTCACTTTCAAGTTCACCCTTGTAAGAGGAGAGCAAAGATCATCAGCCCGACCATACAAGTAGGGAAACTGAGGCTTAGAAAATCAGCTTCCCCTTTATTACCCCTAGTAATATTATGGGTAAGGGCCGGGCTTGGAATCACTGTTCCACTCAGCGGGGATTTGTGAAAGTCAAGATTAAGCAGAGAAACAGGTGTGAGTGCCCTGTGAATAATTCCATGGCACAGATATCTCCAGGGCCTCCTCTTGTCTCTCCTCCAGGTTGAGGACGAGGTGCCCATGTCCCCCTTTTCTGCCTGGCCCCCTCACCCTCCAAGCTCAGCTGTAATGTCCCTCTTCTAGGCAGCCTTCTCAGACAATCCAGTGCACAAACTGTGCTCCTTTTCCTGCTCCTGAAGCGCATTATGTGCACCAGTGCTTCAGCAATTTGTCACGTATTGCCTGTGACATCCCTTCATGGCTCCCTGGAGCCCATCTGCAGGGATTAATTTATTGCGTGTTTGTATTTTGTCTGGGAAAATTTTTTTCACACTTAAAATTGGGGCTTACCAAGCTGAGCATGGGGGTGCATGCCTGTAATCCCAGCACGTGGGAGCCTGAGGCAGGAGGGTCGCTGTGAGTTTGAGGCCAGCCTGAACTACGTAGTGAGACTGTCTCAAAAAAAAAAAAAAAAAAAGATTGGGGTTTAACATCCTTAAGGCTTTCTTAACATTCTCTAAGCCTCAATTTCCCTACCTGCATGGTGGGAACACTCAGATTATCTTTGAGCACATTCCCAGAGAACTCCGTTGTAGGGTTAATTACACTGCTTCCTCCTCTCCCAAATTAACCATGGTGGTCAGATTTGGGGGGTTAAGGCAGAGGGCAGGGCTTATCTTTGTAAGGGGGGTTCCCATGACGAAGGTTACATTCTTTTATCCCACCATTGCTTATTAAAATGATGGCATAGTTTTTTTCCTGTAATTTCTACTGGCTGCGACCTGCATTAAGAGTCCTGGGAGACCTTCAAGCCACGCAGTGGTGATGTTGTAGGACAGGAGCTGGGGACAGGATGGAATCTGGCGTGTTCTGGGTGGAAGTGGTCAGAAACAGCTATGGCAATCTGCAGCCTCGCTGCTGAACTCCGGATACGAGGTCTTCCTATTCTTTGATGCTACATCATGGTCTGTAACATTTTCCTCTTTGCTCAGGCAGGGGCAGTTCTGGGCCCCCAGCATACAAAAATCATACTGTGACACTGCTTTTTTTGCTTTTTTTTTTTTGTTTTTTGAGACAAAATCTCGCAATGTAGTTCAGGCTGTTCCTGAATGCATTAAGAACCCCAGGCTGGTCTTGAACTCATAGCAATCTTCCTGCCTCTGCCTCCCAAGTGCTGGGCTTACAGGCATGTGCCACCATACCAGGCCAACCCAACATACCTTCTTGGTCATTCCCAGGCACAGCTGTATATCCACCTGTCTTACTCAGCAATGAAAAAATCATCAGTGTAATTTTTTACATCAAACAAACAAGAAAATGGATTACTTTGTACTCAATGCCCGCCCATTAGTGTGAAATCAGTGCTTCATCTTCATAGCAGCAGGGCCCACCTGAGCGAGTCCACCCGGCACCAGGCCCTGTTCCAGATGACTGAGGAAGACAGGTTGGGACCGTAGTTTATTTGAGGGGAGAGAAAGTTCCAGTACTTTGTTCCATCAGCAAAATAAGCCCTTCTAGTCTTTCCAGCGGGACAGAAAGCCGCAGGGGCAGGAGCCTCATCCTGCCCCCGGGCACTGCCCTCAGAGCCTGGCACAACCACAGGCTGGGGATGAAATGTTTGTAGGAAGCGTGCTGCTATTAAGGAGATGGGATTTGCTGCAAACCCAGGTGGAGAGGACTGGGACAGAGAGCAGTCTGGTGGGCAGGACACCTTGGGGCAGAGGTGACGAGGCCTGACTGGAATGGCAGCAGCGGCCCGGGTTTCTTCACAAAGCTGGACTCCTCAGGCCCGGGAGAGGCCCTGGATTCTGGTTTATGAGGAACAGCATCCTTCAAACCCGGAGGCTCTCACACACGGTCACTCTGCCACCCCAGGATGGCACTGTGGTCTCAGCTGGGGATCTGGGTAAAGTCGCCCTTTGTCTCAGAGCCTTGGGTGTCCAGAGAGGGAGGAAGTAGCAAGTCAACTGGCACAGAGACGCAGATGAAGGGTGCTGGTGTCCAGTGCTTTGTGAGGGGTTCTCAGGGCACCGATGGCAGAGGCGGTCATTGTCACTCCGCAGAGGGCAGGCCCCCCCCACACACACCCCGCACACGCGTGCACACACACACACACACACACTTACACATACCCCGCTCAGCCTTCCGCATGAGACTCCCCTGAGGAGTGCCCCAAATGCAGATTCCTGGGCTCAGATCTGACTCTCTGGGCAAAGAGAAATCTTGGAGGCGACATTTTCACAAAGCTGTGCAGATGACATCAATGCCAACACCTGTCTGAGGGCCACTGTGTCTGAGATCCAGCGTGCACAGAGTCTACGCTCTCGGGGCTGGGGCTCAGGGCACCCCCATCCTACGGACCAGGGTGCTGGTGGTGGCCATGTCCAGAGGGAGGGCAGGTGGGAAGGTTCTGGGGCAGACTGTGGGGACAGAAGCACAGTCCCTACTGGGGGTCACAGCCAGGTGGGGGAAACAGACCGCTGGGGAGAGTGACTGGTGACCCCCATTTCTGCAGTGTCCCAGGTGAGGAGGGGCCACAAGGGCCAAAGGGCGAGCGGACAAGAGCTCCTTCCTCCAGGTGGGTGCTATTCTGGCACTGGAACCCGGGTGAAGACAGCCACCGTCTGCAGAAGGCTGGGCGAGGGCAGGGGCACAGACCCTCTCTCCTAGCTCCTCCTCCTCCCGGAGGAGCCCGAGTCTGTCCAGGCAGGTGGGTGACCGCTCACCGGGCCCAGCTGTGCCCCTGACAGCCGTGTGGGTCCAACCCTGCTCTGGGTCCCAAGGCCCCTGCACAATCCTATTCTTCCCGCTCCCAGCCTCAGATTCTGCCCCTGGAGCTGGTCCCTCTCTACCCTACACACGCCCTATTCCTGAGGACGTGCTGCCACCTGATGGTTCTTGGGAGAAATACCTCCTGGAGCCGACTGGTACCCCAGGGCTGACTAAAGAGCTTAGGAGCCTTGCAGCCTGGAGAGGAGGGTTGAGGCGAATCCCCTGCACGCCCTCAGCCCCAGCCGTCACCCACCCCAGGCCTGGAGGCCTCACTGCTGGACCCATCATTGGCATCAAAAGCCACTGAAAAGTGGAGATCAGAGAGGGCCATTAGCTCATGTGACAGCCGCAAGAGGAGAACCTGGCTCATTTGCTCACTCATTCAGTCACTAACATTTACTGAGCACCCAAGACGCCGGGAAGGAGACCAGCGAGGCCCCACAGGCTCTGGGAGCGGAAGAGGCAGCGAGACACTAATGCACGGGGAAGCAGGCTAATTGCACCTGGCGGCCTGCATTGGAGACGGTGTCTCGCGAGGGTGGCGGAAACAGTCACAAGCAGGGAGCTTCTTTAGATGTAGCCGTTTCGAGGGTCTCCGCGGAGATGCCTGGAGGTGCCCCCAGTGCAGCTGACACCGAGGTGGGGGGCATGGCAGGAGGTCGGGAGGTCACAGGGGCTCTTGTATGCTCCTGTCACCCAGTCTCACAGAGGCGTGTGGCAGTTTGTGGTTGTGCAT